GTGGTACACAGGACATCAGACTACTAGCTGATCTTCTGGCCTTGCACTCTATGACTCGAAGTTAGTTAACACCAGTGCTAACATGACAACAGTAGGGAGTCCCAACATTGATAACTGGTGTTAGCAACCAGGGAACACTCTTCCAAAATATTGTTATTATTGATGCCACCTCAGAGGCAGTTTAGTGCACAGAGCACTGACCAACAAGTCAGACCCGCATTCTATTCCTAGCTCTGCCAATGGCTTACTGGGCATTCCTGAGCAAATACATTACCCCATCTGTACTTCATTTTCCCCAGTATTGCCAACCCTGAAATGTTAAAAGAAATCAGTCAGTTCCCAAAAAAGTGGCTTAAAAATCATGATACTTTTGGGGGGGAGGGAGGTGCGGTCATTGGCTTCTGGTTTGTGTGTCCTTTGAAGGTTTTTTTTCTGCAACCACAAGATATACAAACTTAAGAAGCAACAACAACAAGAAAGATGCTGGTATTTTCAGGTAATCACTGGTCTCCAGGACCTGGGCCCTTAAATAAAACACCAAATATCGTGACACTCTTGATAAAATCATGAGTTAGCAACACTTCCATTTGTAAAATGAGGATAATTATTCTTATCTTTGTGATGTGCTTTTAAGCTCCCTGGATGAAAAGTGAGAATAGTGGTGTTATTACATCAAAATGTAGTGGTATAATACATGATGCAGAAAATAAGGGAGTTAAAAAAATTTTGGGATCCATTCTTAAAAGCCCCCCAAAAGCTTATTCAACATAATGAAACATTTATGTTAAATGTACTTAGGAAAGCATAAATCAGCATAAAAACAGAGCAAATAGGAATAATGCGTTAGAGCTAGTATTGTGATTTCTCCCTCTCTCCACTTCTAAATCATTCTGTATTCATACTTCAATATTACCGTTGTTTAGTATAAACAAAATTCAGATGCCTACATCTGAGAAAAGTTTACAAGATTGAGATGAGGTTAGCTGATTAGATTTCAATCACAGTTTTGTCCCAAAAAGCAAAGAATGCTGGATCCGGTCCTTAAGGTCAATGAGAATATCTTCACAGACGTTAATGGGCTCTGGAACAGACTATTCGTTCTCACTGATGTTACTGTAACATTTTTTTACATCCTAAACACAATACAGAATTATAATTAAAAATATACTGTTCATCTAGTACACCCATAATCATTGAGTCTTCTGAAAATACTTAATACCCCTTATTGTTAATCTCCCACAATGTACAATGCTCACAAAGTTCTTTAGTCCTCTCCTAAATCACCTGCCAAATAATTATCTAGTGACAGCAGAGGACAAACAAAAGATGTGGCAATTTCTTAGCTGTATTATCCTCCCTATACTTAGCCACATGATAAAAATATCTCAAATCCCACAAAATTGTGTTAAGCAAAAAAGAATTTAGAAACTAGTCACTTGCCTCACATTTAACAATACTGGCATTACATTTTATTGAAAGAACTCTGCTTTGAAAACTGTGCTCCCAAATAATATTTCTACTCATGGAAACAACAAATGGGGAAGCTGTATCAAAAGTCTTATGATCTACAGTGTTCTTTCAATGACTGATCCATCTGTTCAGCCAGTCTATATTACTAGGCTACTTTTTCTTCAATAATCTTATATCCGACCTACAAATTCTTCTGTGCCTCTTTTAGAGATTATTAGCCATAGGGAATAACTTCCCTTCATGCTAATTTGACTGATTTATATTAGCAGTCTTATCTTAAGCATAAATGCACAAGGGGAAGTACTGTAGCTTTTTCTGAGCTGTCCCTTGGTACACCCATTATTATGTATACAATTATTCTGATTTTGCCCTATTATTAAAATTATTACCGCAGCAGGGAGTGATCAGATGACTGGCTCATCAAATCTTTATCTTCTGGAAAGTCTATTTTTGCTCAACAGTACTAGCCTGATAATCATGTAGCATCCACTGGGGGAAAAAATGCAGACATGACATCTCAAAAATTGGACAAGCTCGTGCATAAGAATTACCAACAAAAGAATAAAATTATCATTTCTTCCTCAGCTTCCCCACTCTCATGTGAGGGGATAAACCAACTCACCAACCAGTATATTAATGAAGCTCCCACAAGTGTCAGTATTTCATTCCCTTTTCCTCAGGGATGCACTTATTGTTAAAACACAACAGAGGGTCCTGTGGCACCTTCAATACTTCTGTTAGTCTTAAAGGTGCCACAGGACCCTCTGTTGTGTTTTACAGATTCAGACTAACACAGCTACCCCTCTGATACTTGTTAAAACACAGTTCATCATCACTGAAGACAGGTAAACCAGGTCCTGTCACCTAGCCTCTCCTCCGGCCCCTGTCTCAGCAATCTTATGCTGCTCCCTACCCAGCAGGTATCCCCAGCCAAGTCTTCCACCTAGCTGATGTAGGAAGACCCCTTTCCTCATCCACAATCTCCTGCAGGAACCTCTCTGCTCCCTGCAGCAATCCCCCTTTAAGTGAGCAGATTGTTGGCCTTCTTTCTCCACTGCTGGGAGGCAGCTGATTAGCCCAACTCCCTTGAAGGGCATCCCATGCTGTGGTGGTGTCCAAAAGCACGTCACTATATCTCATTCTACCAGGTATCTAGCATGCCTTGCTGCAAAGAGTGTTGAACTTGATCGACCCTGTCCACAGCAGTGAGACCACTATTTTAAAAAGCTGCATAAATAATTTTTAACATGCATTTTCCAAATGCTCATTTTCCCAGTGTAAGTGGGGGTTGAGATGTTAGTGGCAAGAGCGTACTGAACACTCAACATTCAAGGAGTTCTTCTGTGATCTATTTGTTAATGTTGAAAGTTCTAATCTGAAGAGCACGGAAATCAATGGAAGACTTTCTTCTGATTGGCATGGACTCTGAATCAGGCCCTACTTGTATAAGGCAGATTGTACATTTGTACCTCTAAATCACCTTTTTTCTTCATTTTCTTCTATCCTGTTTTCTCTCTTTTGTCAGGAGGCAGAGAGTGGGATTTATGGAAAACTGATTGGTAGAGTAAATTGCCCTTGTGTGAGACAAGAACAAATTGTATATATCAAAATATTCTGAATATCTTTTATTGCTTAAATTTAGAATAAAGATTTTTTGTTAAAAGTAGAAGAAAAGAGAAATAAGAATGAAATATCTTGGCAAATAGTTGATTCTTATATCCATTTTCCATTCTAATATAATTGTGCCCAATCTTGCACTTTTTACACAGGCAAATTCACTAATTTATTGTATAGTATCTTTGCCTGAATAAGAAATGCAGGAGTAGGTGCATATGCTGATTGTATGTATAAGAATTGCCTAAAAGGCATCAGATTACCTGTTGACAGAACAGTAACTTATCACAAGGATGAAAGTTGTTAGGGGGCATTCAGCTAGTTCACTTGTTACATGGGGCTTCCACCCACTTGTGGCTATGTTTCTTACACAGGAAACTATGCCAAGTAAACAGGTCTCTGATAAAAAGTGAGGAAATACAGCGAGCCTTATTTTAGATGGTGTCCAAGGCAAAGAACAGCTTTATATCAGCAATAGTGTGGAACTTTAATTAGGATGAAGTGGGCACACTTGTTCACAATTGACTTAATCCATTTCAAAGTTTGTTAGCAATAGATTCCAGTGCTCTCTATGCTACTCTTCTCAGGTTCTCATACCATGGCATCTGAATTTGTGAATTTAAAATGATGACAAAGAAAGCAATACAAAAAGAGTATTCAAGGTAAATAGAGTTAGAAAGTCAGCTCAGTAAATTGTTATAAATTAAATGCTTAGCACTTCACATTTCAGAGATTCTCTCTTGCTGTCTATACTAATGCAGAGAATGCTACCCTATTTTCCCCCCCATTGATTTAATCCATCCTTTGTCAATATCATTACACAGCATCCTGTAAGAGTTTCCTAAACACAGTGCTTCACTGGTAAGGTGGCAGGGACTGGTGCCTACAAATGGTTCACTGCCTGCTGAAGAGGTTTCAGCAACACTAGCTTTTCAATGACGCCACATGGAGAGAGGTAAAAGAACAAGATAAAGCAGGCTGTATGAGGGGGAAGGAATTAGGCCCCTTCACTCCATCACAAAATCAATAGTTATAACTGCACACCAGCAAGCCCCAAACAAGCAGCAATTAGCAGTATATCTATAGGATATTTCTATAACCATAATCAATGTCTGTTTAAATATTCTCAATCATCAACCCAGCCTGCTATGTGTTTTGCAATAGGTTTTTTTTTTTAATCCCCTTTCTCCCACAAATTAAGCAAAAATATTGTATAGTGGGTTTTTTGAAAAGTAGTTTTAATTAAAATATAGACAAATTCTTTATGTAATCCCCAATTACATAATTCTTGAGTGCACTAAAAAGATGTCCTTCTATATGCATCAAAGTAGAGTTCAAAACAGATCATGTTTTAACATTCATGGTGGAAAGCAGAAAAAAGTCTGATGAATAATAAACAAGCAGTAAACAGATCTTTCCAAAACACAAACACAGCAGGGAGGCTTCAAAACCAAAAGCAACCATGAGATGAAAAAGAAACAGAAAACAGAGAGCCCACCCCCAAATAAATGAGACAATCGATATTCTGCATTCAGGCAAAATGTTGTGATGCACTGAGCAAAGCAGCAGCAATGTTGTTTGTTTTCTGCAAACTGCTATCTGCAAATTCCTCTCGGGATACCTATAGACCACAGTGCACCCTATTTTACAGTCTCCTCCTATGGATGTTCTGGCAGAGGGAAGTCCACATTTGACAATCAAATACAGCCTATGTGTGCATTGCCATCAGCGACCCTAGGCTCACAGGGAAGAGACTAATAAATACAGAGGATGTTTTGTCAACAGTCAGCAATAGCGATCCTAATAAGGCACATTTGCAAAGCAGCAGCTTGCACAGTAATTTATCCCTTAGCGCCAGCGATGGATGGCTGCATTTGGCTATGTCTAGAAAAGGTAAAAGGCGTCCGGCGAGTTACCTGCTCCCCGAAGTCGATGGCTATATTGGTGATGCCCAAAGGAACCAAGAATCGGATCAGGGGCCAGTAGTTAGTGAGCGCTGGAAATTTCACCATAGTCCCAGCTGTGCGAGGACCCCAAACACATCTGCCGTAGCAGGGAAACTGCAAGGGGGGAGGAATGGGGAAAGAAGGAAAAAAGAGAGAAAAGAAAAGCCCCCTAAAAATCAAGCTTCTGGCTTGGCTGGGGGAGGCTCTGCATCTAGCAAGAGCAGCAGCAGCGAAGCGGTCTCTTCTCTCCTCCTCCGCTCGCTCTGCTCCGCTCTGCGCGGTGTGCTGCTGTCTTAGCAAGAGATCCAAAAGATCAAGTCCATCCCTGCTGCCCTCCTCCCACACAACAATGATCTGCTGCTGCTGGGGGGGGGAAGAGGAGGGACACCACCACCACCAGAAATTTCTGCGGGCGGGTTTTCCATTATAGGAGCTAGGGCACACACACAAAAATGAGGTAGGTACCCTGGCTTAGCCTAGCCGGCAGCAGGGGGATGGGAGCAGGGGTGGGAACAAAAACAAACCAACCACCGGCATGGGGCAGGATGAGCCGGGCTGTCTCGCCGCCTCCTTCCCCAGGCTGTGGGAGGAGAGGGACGCCGGAGGATGGCTGAGGCGGTGCAGAAAACGGGCTGAGGCCGGAGACGCTGCGCCCCGGCCCAGCTATGTCTCCTCTCTCGGCGTCTGCCTCTCTAAACACGTGGGTTTTGACACACACCCGGCCTCATTTCAGGAGGGGAGGGGAAAGAGCGGCATCTCTCTGCGCCTCCTAACGCCGGCGCCCGGGCACAGCAGCACCTCTAGCTGCTGCAGCCCGCCCAGGAGAAGCAGCTGCTGCCTGCTGAGCAGGACAGTAGACAAGTGTGCGTGTTGTACAGGAGGTGTGCGCGCGCAGGTGTACAGCGAGTGGGGCTATACAAATGACTGTGTGTGTAAATGTGCATTCTCCGCCATACACTGCATGTATGCACATACACACTAGACATAGGCATGATACACATATACACAACATACTTTCCACACACAGGCTCACAGCACATTGTATGTACAGTGCAGGTGTCGGTTTGTGTACAGTAGCTGTGGTTTTGGGTAGGGTTACCATTCGTCTGGATTCCCCCAGACATGTCTGGCTTTTTGAGCTAAAAATAGCATCCCCGGGAATTTGTAAATGTCCAGACTTCCCCCCCACCATAAGGTTTTGGGCAGTCAGGGTACAGGTAGGGGGTAGGCTCCTGGGGGGCAGTTAGGGTGGGGGGGGTCTTAGGAGGGGGCAGTTAGGGGATAAGGAACAGGGAGGCTTAGGTAGGGGGTGGGGTTCTGGAGGGCAGTTAGGAGCAGGGGTCCCAGGAGGGGGCAGTCAGGGGACAAGGAGCAGGGGGAGGGTTGAGGGTTCTGAGGGGGGCAGGAAGTGGGAGGGGCAGGGGCAGGGCTAGGGCAGGATGGGGGCAGGGCTAGGGTGGGGCTCCTCCCATCCTCTTTTTTGCTTGCTGAAATATGGTAACCCTCGTTTTGGGGGTGTGCACATTGCCACATTGTGTATGTAAGTGTGGTGTGTGTACATTCATATGGATGTAACTGTGGTGATTTTGCATGTACAATATCTGCATTTCTATGTGTACATGCATGTCTACATCTAGCATGCATCTGTTAATGCCCTCTGCTGTGCTCCAAGGCACTGCCACATAATGGAGTTACAGTCAGGAGAAGTGTGCAGTTTTCTGTTCCTCCATGCATTGTACCAACACTAGTCTGTAAACTTCTCCCCCGGTCTGGTTTTAGGATTTATGACGTCCCAAGCAAAAGTGGAGCTTTACAGTGCTTGGAGCAGGACTTCATCTGTGAGTTGCCCACTTGCCTCCCTCTCTTGTTCTACTGAAAAAGTGTGGAAGAGTGAGCTGGCCTGCAAGTTGCACGTCTATACAGGTCCCTCTCAAAAGTGGGACCCCAAACTTGCATTGCATGTTAATAAGGCCTTCACAGTGTGTGTTTGACCATTACTGTAGAATACTGTAGAATGTAAGCAGTGCCTGATGGGGAAGGCATGTCCTGTCTGTTAATGACTGGCTGGAGGATTTACAGAACTAAAGCAAAGTAGTGGATGGGGGCGTCCTTAATCTCGCTAGTCATTACTGGTCAGGAAATGCCTGACCCAGAGTTTTTGTTCTGATAAACCACATAAAATAATAAATAAAGGGAGACCATTTGTCAGCAAGATGTGTTAATATTTCAAAGTCAGTTTAATTTCTGACTAATAAAATGTGCCATTTGCTTGTAGTCTGGAGGCCCAAGCCTGCTCACGTGGAAAGCAATGGAGTATCTGTTCACTGGGAGTACTGTTGGACCCTGGCTCCATTTCTAGAAAATAAAGACTAATGCAGTTAACCACTGAGAAAAGCAGGACTTGATTCTCAATTTTTAATTGATATATGTAAGACTCTTGGACTTTCCAATTTCTATTGACAGAGTTACCGTAAAGGTGGAAGAACCAGGGTATGTCTACACTGCAAAGTAAAACCCATGGCACCACATCTCAAAGCCCAGGTCAGTTGCATCTGGCTCAGGCAGCTCAGGCTGCAGGGCTAAAAATAGCAGTGTAGATATTTGGTCTTAGTCTGGAGCCCAGGCTCTGAAAGCCAGTGATGGGGGAAGGATCTCAGAGTCCGAGCTCCAGCCTCAGTGAGAATATATACACTGCCATATCTTCTTCAAGTAGATGCAGCTGTGTATTCCACGTAGGTGTGTGCATGCCCAGTGCTCTGGAGTTGGAGAATTTCGCCTAGCAGTACCTCTGGAGGGGCAGTGCTCGCACCTCATGGCTGTAGCCCCTCCCTTGGCTTATGAAGCAGCACGACCCTGACCTCCCTCAGTTCCTTCCTACCTCCCATGACTGGAGTTGCAGCTCTGTGTAGTTTTCAACCTCACAATCCTTTATTCAGTGACTTTTTTCTAGTTTTATATAGTTCATGAGTACCGCTAGTACAGTGTTAGTTAGATTTAGTGTTAGTTGGAGCTTGTGTTCCCTTACCAGGGTTTAAACATTGTCCATCGTGTGTGTGGGGAAGGGGAGGGCGGGGGGGGGGGGGGAATCACCAGTAACAATCCATGCGCAGTGCTTGCTGCTCTAGGTGAAGCCCCCATCATGGAGCAATGTTTGATTTGCAGATCATTCACAGAACGGACTCAAGTGGTGAGGGGTCTTCATCTGAAGCAGCATCTGCTTGAACAGGCCATGCTGCCTGCTTCAACACTGAGGCCCTCATCAGATTCCATGTCATCCTCTGGTTCTAAGAGTGCTGCCGCTTCGCATGCTGGAGCTGGTGCCTCTCTGAAGAGACGGAGGCAAAGACAGCCTGTATCTGCCGACAATGCGGGGCAGAGTGAAGGCAGTGGCTTCAGCAGATGTTACTGAGCACGCTCAGTACATGCCAAGCAGCAATTCGGAGGGCCTTCCCCCCCGTGGCCTCCCTGTCGTGTTGCCTCTCCACAGAGGAGTAATTTCCTGTTGAGTGTGCCTAGGTCATGTAAAAGGTCATGTAAAACCAACCGAGACTGTTCCAGGTCCCGTGGGGACTTGTCTTCCTCTTCCAAAAGGAGCATGAATCAGCATGTGGTAAATGCAGATGTGTGGGATGGAGCAGGTCCCACCAGCCTCTCCCCAGCACCATCCAGACAGCTCAGAGACCTATACAGTTGACTCCGGTTCCGGCCCCACGGTGTCTCTTGAGTCCAGTATTGACGAGGGCAATGCTGGCATAGTCTGCTTCTGTGCTGGTGGCATATCAGGCAGCAGCAGACCTCTCCTGTCTTTCTGTCCCAACCTCTCCCTTGGTCCAGGACTGCATCCGTTATAGCCCCATTGGCTGCATCCGTTATAGCCCCAGGCCACTGAACCTATGTATCTGTTAGCGCTGCACCCCGATATTTCCCTTCCACGCTCAGTGGAAATGGGGCCAGTACCAAACTGGGCACAAGGGACCTCCTCAGCACCAGGAACTTCTTCAGTAACCCCATGGCCAGTGCTGTCAATGTTGCCATGGCAGCAGTCTCCGCCCTCCACTTCGGCACCAGTGGTTACTTGGGTACCAATGCTGACTTCGAGGTCGGCACTGCTCCTGGCAAGGGAAATGACCAAGGCATACTCGGTGCTGTTGGAACTGTTTCCACCATTGATGCCACACCTCCCTCCCCCCGGGCTATGGACAAGTTGGACTGGCTGCTCACACCCCCAGGGCTGGCCCTGCCATTTCCCCCAAAGCCTGGGACTCTTCAGTATTTGAGTTGGGATCTTATTCCTCCTGCTCTCCATTGCCTGAGCGAGGGCTGTTCGTAGAGCACTATGGGTACCAGGATTGGTGCTCATCTCATGGTCAGGACACGGCCCCTTGACCTGGCACCTACTGGCCACCAATGCCATATTCATACCATTGGACTCCGTGGGCCACTCCTTGGTCATGTAGGTCCCATTCATCCTGCTCGAAGCCAAGATCATCAGCTAGGTCTGTAGCCTTGACCATCGATTTGCCAAAGGTCCAGGTACTGGTGAACCTTCCCCTCAAGGAGCCTCCAGAGTCATCCTGCCTGGGCCCATTGGGCCACAAGCAGGGATCTAGCTCAGGCACAATTAAGTGCCTCATCCTTGTCCGCAGATGATTCCGCAGTGCCGGGCTCTTCCTTCCCTTCGGTACCGGAGGATTTCAAGCCGTACCAGGACCTGTTGCGGCACATGACTTCTTCCCTGGGTATTCAAGCAGAGTTTCTGCAGGAGAACACTCACATGTTAGTGGATACCCTCAACCATCAGACCCTGGGAGAGTCGCCCTCCCTATTAATGATGTGCTCTTTGAGCCTTCAAGGTCCTCTGGAGCACACTGCCTTTGATAGCACCTGCAGCTAAGCGCATAGAAAAGTGCTACTTTGTTCCCATGCAGGGATTTGAGAGGTTTTGTTCCCATCCGTCCCCAGATTCCTTGGTAGTAACTGTGGTGAATGATAAAGCCCGACAGGACAGGTGTAAGTCCAATCCCAAGGAGAAGGACTCTAAGTTAATGTACCCAATGGGCAGGAGATTCACACTTCCTCTTCCTAGCGGAAACAAATTACTAATCAGCAGACACCGCTGTCCAAGTATGAATTTGTCAACTGGATGGCTATGTCTAAATTCATAGACCAGCTGCCATGGCCTTGAGGGAGGAATTTCAGACATTTGCTGCTTGGTGTCTAAGACTTCTTTGTAGTCCCCGCTGGATATCATGGATGCTTCAGCCAGAGTGATGGCCTCCACAGTGACCATGAGGAGGTCTTCCTGGCTGCAGAATTCGGGCATTGCTCCTGATATCCAGCAGTCCATTGAGGTTCTGCCCTTTGATTGCCAGGTGCCATTCCAAGATAAAACAGATGAGACTCTGCACTACTTCAAGGTCTCTAGGGCGACCCTTCAGTCTTTGGAGGTGTATGCACCAGCAGTGCAGAGGCACCACTATGGCATTCAATAGCAACAACAACTGCAGTATCGTCCACAGCACATGTTTGGGCAGTCTTTCCCTCCCCCAAGACAGAAGAATTACTCAGAA